GACGGACGGACAGACGGACGGACGGACAGACAGTCACCCGGATTTCAACTCGTCTCTTCATCCTGATCATTTATATATACATAACCCTATATCTAACTCGATTAGTTTTAGGTGATACAAACAACCGTTAGGTGAACAAAACTATTATACTCTGTAGCAACAGGTTGCGAGAGTATAAAAATGTAGGGTGCAATATATTTTATGCCGTTGAATGACTTTGACATTTACTAACCGTTAGAGTTGGTAAGAATTCAAGAATGCTAGAGATAGAGAATACGCCAAGTTTTACCGTTATTTTCTTAGTTAGGTTTAGGCTAGGACAGGTGTGACTAAGAATTAAAAAATAAAATAAAAATAGACCGGGATATCATAGACCATAGAAGTGTTTTGGTTTTTGTTTCTATGTTGCCTCATCCCATTCTATAGTCTACACCGTCACGATGTCACAATCTTTTCTATCATTCTTGTTGTGTGGAGTAGAGCATATTATTATTAGAATATGGAGTATATGCTCTCTAAATTTCATCAAGATACACAAGGTCCTTATATTCGGTATTTCGGCTTGAAAATGTATAATCCGATTTCGCCTATTTTTACACGGTAATATTGGGACTTCGAAGAGTCGAGTAGATGGTGAGATATAGGATTTGGCCTTAAAAGAAGCGGTGCCACTCCAGTTGTACCATTTCAATTAATGTTTTCTCAGCGAATTAACGCACTTTTAGTAATTTCCAATCCCTTTGAATGAGGGTTGGGAGTGGTTATTATTGGATTTCACCAATTTTTACACTGTATGTTTGATGAGATGATAGAAAATAGATTTTGTTAAATTTTAGAAATTTCATTTAAATAGTGTCATGGACATAATCTAGAAAACGTTGATTAACTGAGAATTTACATTTTAAGCTAATCGATTTCTAGTCTAAACCGATTCGATTTATTCCAATCTGAAAGCACAAGTAAAACTCTCTCCTTTCGACCATAAGCTGGTTTCGCATAAAATACTTGCGGAGCTGGAATATTAATCAGACCCATCCGGTTATAATGGTCTAGTCCACTGATCCTGTTATAATTTGATTATCTGAACTATGGTGATTTAGTCAAGAAGACTAAGTCAACAGATTGAACCTTGTATTATAAATTCAGCTCTACCGATAAGTATATTAATATCTAATCAGCGAATTCCGCTATAGTTAGTATATTTTGTGGAATCGCTCTATTTGGGCATTAGGCAAATCATAATTATATTTCAACAATTCAATAATTTTTTAAGCCTATGTTTTAATGCGAGAAATGCATTGTATAAGGATTAGACTATATAGGTATTCATACCTTCAAACTCCGGATAGTAGTCCACTAAGTGCGAGGTCAATATCTTCTCTTCAAGTATATCTTGTTTATTTAAAAATAAGATAATCGAAGAATTACGAAAATAGCTCGTTGATAAGATGGCACGAAAAAGATTCTTGGATTCCTCCATGCGGTTCTGTAATACGAAACAAAAATAATAAAGTTACTCCATAAACTATCGATAGAGAACTTCTTCTTAAGAATATATGTTCAGGTTATGTTAGGGACCTGTCATAAATTTTGTATATATTTATAATCTTATTTAACGAAGTTCTCCCCAAAGTTTCAAATTCTAAGAATTCAAATCATCAAGATTATTGCTGTACGTACAACGGTTATTATTCCGATAGTATTGAAACCAGTCTATGGAGTGGGTTCACATAACATCAAACAAGAGCTTTGGATATAGGAACAAATGAGACGGGCTCATCACTGGCTATTGGTCAAACCATAACATTTCTGTGTTCAAGTCAGTTGAGTAACGGTATTTATTTGAATTCTAAATCCGACTCAGTCATAGTCAGTTCTAAATTTACAGCTTTCCTACTTCAAGTAAAAAAAATTCAAATTTTGCATTGCACTTACTAAACCTTTGGCCTCGTTCAATGTCTGATCGTATTCTGAGAGGGAAGTTAGAAATATGACAGCTGTCACATCATCAAAACACTGTAACCATTTGCGTCGTTCAGATCGTTGTCCACCGACATCTATTACTCTGCAAAGAGAACAGAAGAGAGTTATGGTTAGTTTGCTCTATCATAGTTGCCTATATGCTTCAGACAATCGGAAAGGTATCACATTCACCGAAGTAACAAACGTTTGTTTTTATTACGCTTCCATTTGTTTTGCTGTATATCGAAAACGTGCTCCACTATTCTAGTCGTAACAACTCGTGAACGCAATATGTGATCATCGCTGGGTACGTAATCGGGCTGCGTGATACAATCCAACATGTCAAGGAAACTGTGTTGGGGTATATATGGTAAATTAGTGAATCAAAATGTATTTTCAGAATATATAAAAAGTAAGCCTACTATTTCGCCGAATCGATTATCTGATATTCCCTTCGTCGTTCATAGCATTGTTGCACACCCGTATCGGCCCACAGACATTTTATGGCTGACAAAATCGTCTCGTCTAATTCTGTTACGGCGTCAACATTGACGAGCAAAATGTTATTTGCCAGAAGCTGTTGGAAGAAAAATAAATTGATAAAAAAGTCTATAAAGAGCAGAATTTATAAAAACACATTTGTACATGCATACATTTATTTATATGGTTTCGAAAATTGCGAAGTTCAGTAGGTTCATATGGTCTATTTGAGGTGCTTGGATACATAATTTACTTTTAAGGAATGTCGAAAACTTAATTCAAATTTAGTACCAAGGAGAATCAGAGAAGAGGAATTCTTCACATGCAAAGCTTTCAAACTTTTGTAACCAATCACGTCGAACTTTAAGTCTACAATCAGCGATTTAACATTGAATAAGATTTGAAATCTTTTAAAAGGTTAAAAATTTGGACGCGCGGAGCTAACCGGATACAAATTGAGGCATTTAAAACATTGAAAATAGTCTCGACATCAAAAAACTTCTTACGAAAAGCCATTACTCGTTCGTAGACTGTACTATACTACAAGTATGTACATACACACATAATAGAGATGGGCGTGTAGAATCTGGACTTATGAGATAAATTTCAAAAGGACCCGGGGCCCGGTTTCGAAATGATCTTTACATTTTTAACTATACTTTTTTTTATATCGGCTTCCCCATTCTATACTGTTTTTATGTTAGTTATGAGTTTATAGTTTTTCCATTAAGTGTTCTTTCAAAAAAGTAAGGTTATATGCATCCACACTATGCTTACCGAATGCTCTACTTTATCGAATGATATTCTCAACACTTTCATTGCACTCAGCATCGACTGCATCGATGTCAAAATATTTTGATGTATGACTTCTTTATATTCCAGTCGAGCATCATCCGAAAAACCTTCACCGTAATTAATGTGCATTTGTTTGAAGAAAGTGGATTTGCCGGCCTCACCAGTACCTATAAGAGAAAGTTAAATAATTTAAAAAAAAGCAGTGGAATTAGTAGTGGACGAAATTCGAATAACAAGGAATAAAAATCATAATGAAGTGCTCAGTACATTTGACGACTACCAACATCTAGACCGAGACCACTGGTCGAACGTCGGGTTTTTAATGCCCAGGTGCCCGGAATAACTGAGGATAACGTAGCAGCAGTCAACAGCCTTTTAATTGGGAGACTGCCGATTGAAGATGCGTGAGATAGCTAAGTGGGTCATAACCGGCATGTGGAACTTGTCGTAGCAAAAATGTGTAACATGGAATTTTGTCAGTGACTACCGTAAAACGAAGGCAAATAGAAACACTTTTTAATGTTGGTAAAATACTTAACCCAATTTCACTACAGCCACTACTGGGATAGCACATCGTTTGAAAGCACGAATCAAGATTTCATTTCTCGACATTTTCAAGCTTAAAGAGTTCACGCAATCTTGTTTAAAATGATACTGCGTTTCATATTTATACTCTAAACAGGGTATATTAAGTTTGCCACAAAGTATGTAACACCAAGAAGGAAACGTCGGAGACCCTATAAAATATATACATAAATGATCAGCATGATGAGCTGAGTTGATTTAGCCATCTGTCCGTCCGTCTGTCTGTACGTCTGTGTATATGCAAACTAGTCCCTCAGTTTTTAAGATATCGATCTGAAATTTTGCACCTGTACTTTTCTCACTAAAAAGCTGCTAATTTGTCGGAACGGCCGATATCGGACCACTATAGCATATAGCATACAAACTAAACAATCGGAAGCAAGTCGTTGTATGGAAAATTCTTTCATTTGACGAGGTATCTTCACGAAATTAGATCGGAATGAAGTTATTGTAAGGAACCTTTGTATCTGTGAAGGGTATTATAGCTTCGGTGCAACCGAAGTTAACGTTTTTTCTTGTTTTAGCTTCATTTGTAAATATTTTTGACGTTCTGTAAGCTTTAGGTATGGAACGAACCTATGTCTCACATGTAGATAAGTAGTGCGTGATGTATACGATGTACGTGAGTGAAAAGTCTAGCTCTCTTTCCTTTTCTCACTATACGTATAAGTACATATTTTTACTCTTATTGTCATAATGCATTTCTCTGAACTTTACATCGTCGGCTTTTTGCATAGCTTTAAAAATATTACCTATACTCATAAATTTTGCGACGCCGGATTAGTCGCAGGAAGCTATTATGATGCAAGTAACGAAATCACTCTCACAGCTACTTGCTTCAAGCAGAGTTATCATATAGATACCATCAATAGTGGCTTCCTACTTTTTACCCTCGTCATCCGACACACTTCGGACCTTGTACCCTTAAAACTGACACCTTCACGGACTTTTTCAGCGATTAATGCCGTAGGAATGAAACGACCACCATTCACAGAACAAGATCTCGAGAGACATGCGTTACTATTTTATAGTTACAGTATGCTGCTTACTTATCCAAGCTTCATCCCTGACATAGCATACGTTTTCTTTCATGTTGCTAGTTCTTTTGTATGTTCAATAAATCCTCATCTTACAGCGCTCTCTCACTGTAGTGCGATCTTTTTGCAAAAGCTTGTTTCTGTAAGATGACCACGATGACAACACTTAGACACTTACTGCCATGAAGGGTTTCAGTAACCGCTACAACAACTACAACTATTGTTTAATGTTTAATCTGATTGTGTTGATGTTTTGATTTCCTTTAAATTTAAATTTCAGAATTCAATTTTATTTTTATGCATAAACTCGCGATCCTTTTTTTGTTTTAGTTCTTATCACCACGCTTGAATATTTTCCCCTATGAATCATATAAACAAAACATGTAGATATACATTAAGAGCTTATCAATATATGTACATGCATTTAAGATGTGACCTTGCGCACACTATTTTTGTTTTTTTTTGCTTATATTTTTGTAGATTTTTTTTTTCACAAGAACTACAGATTAAACACGTTATATATAATATAATATTTGACGATTTCGCTTACCTAGTAACAGTAACTTTTTAGCATTGCTCAATTCTTCTAAGTATCTTTCTAAATCCTCATTAATCTTCCGTTCATTAAAGTCCTTTTCTTCTTCTTCTTCACTTTTTTTTGGCAGCGAACCCCAAGAACAACACCCTCGCACCATTTCCACACTGTTTCTAATCATTTTTAATTTTCTTTTAAGTATTTTCTTAAAATTACACAAAAATTATTTTTATTTTTTAATTTTTAATTTGTTTTTGTTTTTTTTATTTGTTTAATTACAGTTAATTCGTTCTTGAGCGTAACGTATCCATCGCAATACTAAAACCTTACGAATGGCTTCGATCGATTCGAGCTGAGGTTTACTCACAAATTTGTTCAGAATTTCTGTGAAAGCTGTTCGACGATTTGATTTGGATGAGGAGAAAAAAGGAATGTATATATTATATATTTGGGTATACGTATATGTGTTTTTTTGTGGTAAAATAATTATTTTTGTAATGGTCATGTTTGTACATATACCATATACTCATATACGTATACCTACTAATGCAAGCTTTCTACGATCTTTTACGATTGTTGAAAATTGTATATTATAATTATAATTACACGTGGGCGGTGCGATAAGCACTTAGCCGTCCCGCTCGATGGCGCCAATATCAAATTGCACTGCGTGTGGAAGCAGATGTGTACGAGTATTTTAGAAAGACGGAAAAAAGTTCTTATTTTTAGAAGAGAAAAAATTGCGTATAGTCAACGAGTTTCAACATGGTAGATCGGCTTTCGGTTAGGCCCAGGTGTCCCAAAACCGGCTATCATAGATTGATTGATTGGTATTAGGACAGTAGGCATCTTAAAAGACCGTGTAAGTCATATCCTGGCGCTGGATGTTGAGTGTGGTCGCTCTGTCACTGCGGTGTTTGACGCATTTCATGTCCGTCTATGAAACATGGATCCGGAAGGTACACGCCAGATATCAAGGAGCAGTCCTGTGTTGTCACCACTGCCACTGTGCGATTTTTTTCTTTGAAAATTTATAAAAGGAAAATAAATCACGTTTTTGAAACAATTTAATTTTTTTATGCTACATACTTATCGGACTGCCATAGTACATTAGTAAAGCTCTCGATATTTTTTTCAAAGCGAGATGGTATCACTAAACTAGCTTGTGCAGTAAATTTACAAACATCTCAGAAATCCGCAAGCAGTTTTTTTATCACACACATACACTTAAGTTCTTAAATTATACATATTGGGAAAATACGATCAAAAAGCTCAAGTTAAGGCTGTGCATGATTTATACCATACACGAAGGAAAGCAATCATGAGTACATAAAGCTTCGTATGCCATGTTTCAATGCCAATATCAATCTAAACTTAACTTTAATGAAGAATTTATAAAATACCGTTCGGATATATCAATTGTATAGGAATTATATGTTATGATTACTCGATCAGAGCTTCCCTAAAATTATCAAAGCTCAGGCACTAGGTACAATACGATTAGGATAATTTTTGTGTGCTTTCACGAACTTTAATCAAGTTGGGGGGGAGAAAATCAGGTTTAAATGATATTTTCCCACAACTGGTCACTATAAGTAATTAACAAAAATTTTATTTATATTTATGTAGTCCGAAGTATCTATACCATGAACAATTATAGTTAAGATATGTATTATATATTATGTGGCAGTTTATTCTCGGTTGTTGATTGTTGATCTTGATATTATTCGACAAAATTAAGGTCCTACGAAATTTAACCAATTTCTGAAAAGCAAAAGATCCATATACATTTTTTCGAGTCATTGACAATTTTCGGCGGATTGCTTGCCTGCCGAGGGCTAACTGAAATAACATTTTTTTACATTTTTTATTGAGTCGTATGAAAATGAACCGTCGACACACCGATTAATAGTCGAAACACTACAAATTATTTTTTCTATTTAGCTTTCTCATCAGTTTATTTTGCTTTCCTCAGAGACCTTCATTGTCTCGATTCTTCAATGATTTCGGTTCGTTATGTTACTTTAAAAATGCCTGCATTTGCAAATAATGGTCATTTAAGATATCTTTGTGATTATGAAGCGTTTACATCTAGCATGGATGTGATAGAGAACCGTTTTCCTTATAAAATAGTTTTGTACAATTTAAATCGCTGACCTATAAACCTTTCGACCGACTATGTGTTCCAACAAATGTTTCTCTTCAATGAAGTTATTGTTTTTGTAGCGACCCAAAATATCCCTCTAACGGTAGTGACATATGGATTATATATAAATTGGAGTCCGTTCCGCTCATATATGCTAAACTAAACTATCATAGGAAATACTGTTCTTTCAGAACTCTTTGTATGGTGTATACTTTTCACAAAACTATTCAAGCAGTTTACTGGACTGTACAAGTATGAGTCTTAACAACTTTGAATAGCCAACTTAAATATAGTTTTTTTAATACGATTTTATTAGCTTGGGTTGTATGTATGTAAGTAATGGAATCTTTAAGCTCAATTTTCACCGGTTTCCAGAAGTCTGATCAACCGATGACAATGCAATAATTTGATAACAGTTTGCCATTATTTTAGAGGGGGGCGTAATCCCGCCTCCTAAATGGTTTAATGTATATATCTTCCAAACCGCTAAAGCTAACTCAACCCAATTTGCTATATGTCAGAAACTATCGAACTAATTTCAACCAAATTAGGTATTTGAGTTTAACCAGCCATTCCTATCATACACTGGGCGAAGTCGTACAACGACTATAAAGCTATGCAGCTAAAAGCAGGTACTATCCAAATACAAGCATGTGCTATCCAAAAATGCCCCTAAAGCTATGCAGCTAAAAGCATCAACGATCTATGCTGTCATTTAAATAACAAATTTACTCAAAGGCATCCTTAAAGAAAATGAAAAAACTACGTTTGGCTAAATAATAAGTATGGTTTAAAATACTAAAAACATGCTTTTAAAGCATATTAAACTAAAAAGTAAAAAATAAAAAATAAAAAAGACACTTTTAAACCACTCCAAACTAAAAAGTGAAAACAATTCCTTATATAAACTGACAGAAATAATGACCGAAAAATATTTGTATTATTGTGAGAAAAGCGTAAGATGGTTTGTGCCATATTTTTCGTATATCGAGCGCATAACCAAACCACTTGAACGTCTCAATCGACTTTTGTAGATATATTTGTTATGTAAAAATCGAAGGTATAAGATTTTTGATAATAATTGCGATTCTTAAACCACTCTGAAGTGTACATTTTTTTCTAAAAAATAAATTTTTTCTGAGCAGAAAAATTTTGCTCATCGCCAGGCACTTTTTCCAGAGGTCCTTCTGGAGATCGGCTACGGGATCAAGGGAAATAAAATATTTTCAAAATGAATCGTCGATTATTAAAGTAAATTAAACTCTGTTTAGATTCTTATTCATTAAATAAAACTTTCTAAAAAATTCAGAAAACAACGCGTTTCTTTTACTTGCAAGTGAATATAACCCCTTAAGCGAAATTTTCAAAAAAAATGGTCATATGATTATTTGCTGATTTAACTTAATACACTGAGTATTTCTGTTCTATTTATAATAAATAATACTCGTTTTAGCTTCTTTTATCTAATTTTCTTAAAAATCTAATTATTAATCGCAACATCGGCATTAAATAATAAAAATTTAATTTTTAATCCAATTTAATTCCTGACATACAAAAAAAAAATAAAGTTAATATTTTGAATTGGTGTGGTAATCTAATAAAAAATAAGCAAAATTAGTTATTATTATTTATTATTTTAAACTAATCCTATATAAATACTAAACTCAAGAAGCAATCATCTCTAAAATTAGCCAATCTTGCTCTCAACGTCTGCTGCAAAAACTAAACACTTAATTTACTACGCTTTCAAGGAAGTGATCACATCTTTTAAGTTATTCATATTATTTTTATAATATCAACTGTTGATGAGTAATTTTCTTTAATTATTAATACAAGTTTTTTTCAACTTTTCCGTATACTCAATTTGTATTTTGTTTACTCATTTTCATTTATTTATTTTTACGCCTATTAATGTTATATTCATCGATGAACTTAATTAAATTCTTGGTGATGAAGCTCTAGCGAAGACCAGTGTTTATCGATGGTATGGTGAATTCAATCGAGTCGGTAGATCACTCCAAGACGAATTTCGTGAAGGTCATCCAAAATCAGTTGTTGTTCCGGACAACCAATTGATGCTGTGCACAAACTGACATCGCATATTAAGACACGAAACTGTAATTTGGTACAACGAATCGTAATAACAATAATAAATTTAATGTATGTGTATATACCCAAACCATATAAGAAAAATCACCCAAATTTGCACAGGATAAATAATTTTGATACCTATTGCGACAGCGTGAAAATAGGTGAAATCAGCTGACAACCTACGACAGTCGACAAAACTACTAAAAATGCGATAAATCTATAACTAAATGCGCCAGAGACATGCGCTCACATTTAGGTGAAATCACATATCTCTGGACCTACTTCGCCCATTTCAACCAAATTCAGTACATAATATTATCCTGACGATCCTATGTTACATTATGGAAATAGGCGCAATCGGACTACAATCACGCCTACTTCCCATATAGCACAACTTAAAATTCCATATGATTCTTTCACTTTCCAAATACTCGTATATTCAAATGAAACTTTGCACAAATAGTTTTTTTGAGATTTGCCATCTCGAGTTTAAAAATTGCCAAAGTCGGACCATAACGGTTCAGGCCCACACATACCGAATATGTGAACCTCAGTGCGTATGACTGACTTTTTGCCGAAAATATCGAATAAACTGAGAGATTATATATTATTGAAATTTGTGTTTTTGATAATAGTATAACCTTGTATCAAAAATACCTAAAATTAATAAAATCAGGTGAAAACTTGCACTAACTTCCATATAACTAATATCACGATTTTCGTACATCCAGCTGACTTTACTCCATATACATTGGTGATGGTAAGTGTACCTTAATGAAACTCTGGGAGCATCTTATTAATATGTGGCATGTTAATAGTATGTTGCATTGCCAAAAATTACCATCATTCATGACCATCAATATAAATTAATAAGATACCGAATTTGATTGTTATTCATTGACGATTTCCTCGAGCAATGAAGTTGAACCTTTTCGCTACATTTTTTAATATGAAGTTTTGTCAACACCTAAAGATATTTAGCCGGCTTTAATCCTTGAAACTTGCAAGAGTATTCGGTTACGCCCGAACTTAGCCCTTCCTTACTTGTTTTATTTATTATAATTTTTTGTTATTTTAATTTACATATTTTAAAGCGAAAAAGGAATCATGAATATAATAAAATCACAAAATTTGCCTGTTCATCTGATTGCACTTTAGACTAGATTATATTTCTTCAGCTGGAATTGGAAAATGGTGTCCTTAACAGCTGCAAACACGATTCGAATATTTTCGGTATCTAAAGTAGGCGTAGGGAAAGAAAAAATTGGTTAGAATAGAATTTGTATAAAGGGGAAAGATTTAAGGTTATCAAATAACGGTATGTAAGAAGAATTAAAATAACAATAATATTCAACTGCTTAGACAGATGGTTTCAGTCTTTTTCATCTACTAGTTTAAATTTTTGGTTAAAAATAGAAATATATACGAGTATATTTGGACCTCCTTAAATGTTTTACATACACAATCTCAGAATTATATATCTTTATATTCTTAAATATTTTATGCTTAGCACTCTCGCGGATATTCATTTCTAACATCAACCAACACAAAATTCGCACTCACACACAGCATTGCCACACTTTTGCGAATATGAAATTTACAGTACACGTAATTCACCGTTAGATTAGGTTAGCTTAGTGTGATAGATGATAGTAAGCTACTCATAACCCAGTTAATTCACCGTTAGTTAAAATAAAATAAAACGGACAAATTATGAAAATAAAAAATTGGAGTCGAAAATAATAACAGATAGGTAAAAAAAAGAAATTTCGAAAATAATACTTGTAAATCATTTCACGTATGTATATTCGAAAAACTACAATAGTAAATCTTTTACTGTTGTTCGAAAGCCACAACTTTCCAGGTACGGCTTAAAATCGCTTGTTGTTGTCGGCAGATGTTAATTGTTTTTTATTTTTGGAACTTCGAAAAAATAGTTAGTACCTTTTTATTTTTGTTTCTTCGAAAATTTAATTGTTCGTTTCCTGTTATTGTTAGTGTAAAAAAATGTTTCTTGACATTGTCCTATGTTCGAAAAAATATAATAAATCATAGTTTTTGGATTTTCGAAAAAGTAATAAATCGTAATTCGATATTAAATTTCGATTTGGTTAAAACAATTACATATAAAATGTAATCGTACTTTGTTGTTGTTTTTGTATATTCAAAAAAGTAAAAAAGGTTTATTGTTGCATGTTCGAAAAATTAATAAACCATTATTCGATGTTAACTATTTGTAAAAAAAAAGTAATTCGTACTTTGTTGTTGTTGTTGTAAATTCGAAAAGGTAAAAATGTTTATTTTGCATGTTCGAAAAAGTAATACACCGTTAATTGACGTTATTTGTTAAAAAATACATAAATAGATCGTACTCTCGGCTCTGGACGACCTATAAATGCAATAACAACTCTATATACTCACCCGTGGCGCATGTGAAATGTGAATAAATTGGACGGTCTTTATGCACCAATGCTTCAAACATTTGACGTATAAAATATTTTGCTTCGTCAGCGTTTTGTTTGGGACCTGAAATGACAGTTTTTCAAAGAAGTTATGAAAATTTTCGACTAACATTTTTATGTATGAAAATGTAGGGTGCAATATATTTTATGCCGTTGTATGACTTTGACATTTACTCACCGTTAGAGGTGGTAAGAATTCAAGAATGCTAGAGATAGAGAATACGCCATGTTTTACCGTTATTTTCTTAGTTTGGTTTAGGCTAGGACAGGTGTGACTAAGAATTAAAAAAAAAAACAAAATAGACCGGGATGTCATAGACCATAGAAGTGTTTTGGTTTTTGTTTCTATGTTGCCTCATCCCATTCTATAGTCTACACCGTCACGATGTCACAATCTTCTCTATCATTCTTGTTGTGTGGAGTGAAATTCAGTGTAATTGTACCATATTGTAGGGCATATTATTATTAGAATATGGAGTATATGCTCTCTAAATTTCATCAAGATACACAAGGTCCTTATATTCGGTATTTCGGCTTGAAAATGTATAATCAGATTTCGCCTATTTTTACACGGTAATATTGGGACTTCGAAGAGTCGAGTAGATGGTGAGATATAGGATTTGGCCTTAAAAGAAGCGGTGCCACTCCAGTTGTACCATTTCAATTAATGTTTTCTCAGCGAATTAACGCACTTTTAGTAATTTCCAATCCCTTTGTATGAGGGTTGGGAGTGGTTATTATTGGATTTCGCCAATTTTTACACTGTATGTTTGATGAGATGATAGAAAATAGATTTTGTTAAATTTTAGAAATTTCATTTAAATAGTGTCATGGACATAATCTAGAAAACGTTGATTAACTGAGAATTTACAT